GAACAGCTATTCCGAGGAGACAAATATTTGTGGACTTCGTCAAGTACCTCCCTTTTTTTCCCACCCAGGCATTTTATTACGTATAGAGTTCTTGCCACAGAGCGACAGCTTGCAAACTAATTTCGCAATCCATTAATAGCGAGTTAACAATTATTTACACACCTCTTGACTAAACTTAATAAAGAATTATAATACTTACGCTGGCAGAATAGTTCATAGGTCGACTATAAAGGAGTGATTCTGGAGCTGTGAAATCTTGTATGCATTAATTTTAACGCTTCTTATTAATAACTATTTATGAATTTGGTATCAATTTAAAAATAAAAGTAGTGTAAGTTCCACTGAAGCAGTTTCTTCGTCTAAGCCGCTGGTTTGTGGAACAGACATTGCTTCCCCGATCCCTAGAATCTTAACCTGTTCAAGTCTAAGATTAAACGTTATTTTTCACACATCTCTACATAATCTGTACCTCTTACGCTTTAACACTCTGCCTCTAATGGCTCTCGGGTTTTTAACATTCTTGATGTGTAAATTGGCTACATGCCTTCAAAGGCTTGTGGTATATATAACAAGCTTGGAAACTGGTTATAATCACGCTCAGATACCAACGCAACCACTAAAGACAGTGTACTGTAAGCATGTGTTCTCTCCTCTCTCCTAGACAAGATATAGCTGTCACTTACGGTGTCTGGAATGTTTCAGTCATAAAAGCCCTTTGTCTGATACTGAATATATCGTGAAAATCAAGAATACCCGATACTGTTGTGTTGCAATTTGCGAAACATTTCAAGTATCGAGCCGATGTTCATGAAGCGAGGGCTAAGACGGGTTAGTACCCTTAGAGGTTAGTCGAATTCCAATAAATAAAACCCTGTGTGTGGTGAAGTGGTGCAAGACAAACGTACGCAGTGCATGTCGCACAAAACGCAGCAAAGACAACGTTTTGGAATGGTCTTGCGTCTGAAGGTTCACTTGGACGACACTACCGGCGGCTGGTGTTAACGACTTTGGGGAAAGGAGGGATTAAACAGGCACAGTTAAAACAAGGCCCTACCTACAAAGGTTATGCGCTGCTTTTACCAAAAACTTGTCGTCATATCGGGCATATTTGGCTGTTATACACGTGCCGGGTATACCCTTCTCGTAGTGGGTATCATGATGGGTATATTGGGCTTCATATATTTCTACCTGCTGCAATTTTGTTGGTGTGTTCCTCTCTCGGACAACAACAACAACAACAATAATAATCAATATCTGCACTGGAAAATATGCAACTTCTACGGGAAGGAAACTGAAAAAAACTGGTATGAACACCACCCAGACCCGGTTACGGAGATAGGACCTGTTACAATTCTATGGGATTACACAATACACACTGACAGAACAATCAAGGCCAACCGGCCAGATATTGTTATTAAAGACCACAAACAAAAACGGTGCCTCCTTATTGATATGGCAGTCCCTGCTGACTGCAATGTATCTTTGAAGATATTCAAAAAGCTGTCAAAATACAAGGACCTTGAAATAGTTTCTCTCAAAAATGTGGCATATGGGAACATCAACAATCCCTGTTGTAACTGGAGCCCTTGGATTGGTTAGAAAAGATTCCATTAGACTAATTGAAGGGATTCCTGTAGGTCCATGCCTCAAAGAGATACAAAAAATTGTTCTCACAAGTACAGCCCACACTTTACGAAGGGCTTTATCTATGTGATTTTTTTTTTTTTGTCAGTGGAGAGTTAAATGATGCCATTTCTAATCTTAGGTCCCTGGGCAGGACCCGGAAAGAAATGTGTAAACGCCAGAAATCAAAGGAAATAAAAATAGTAAAAATAATTACTTTCGTTTCATTGGAAAAGGTTCTGATCGACTCATTGAAGTGAACCAGGGTAGTCCAATGCCTTAAGCAAATACAAAACAAATTTTCTCACAAATCCAGCTCACACCTTACAAAGGGCTTTATTTTTGTAAAATGAATGTTCTTGGGTTGTTTTATTTTTTTACTTTTATTTTATTTTTTTTCTGCCCTTATGTGTTTGGGTCCCGGAAGGAAATGTATATAGGACAGAAATAAATAAATCAATAAATAAATAATAGCCGTACCCATCAGTGGTTAGTTAAAAGCTGAAACAGAAGGTTTTATTCTTGCTGCACAGAACCAATGCTTACTCACTAGAAATTACTACGCATACATACTGAAAAAATTGTATTAATCCGAAATGCAGATTTTGTGATAAATATCCAGAAAAAATTGACCATTTTTTATCAGGTTGCACTCACTGAATATAAAATTTGGTGCGCCAATATCTGCATTGGAAAATATGCAACTTTTACGGGGAGGAAACTGCAATAAACTGGCATGAACAGTTTACTGAGATAGGACCTGCAACAATTTTATGGGACTTTGCAATGCGAACAAACAGAACAATCAAAGGTAAATGGCCAGACGTCATGATCAAAGACAACATGAAAAGGATATGCTTTCTTATTGACATGGCAGTCCCTGCAAATTGTAATGTATCTTTGAAGATCTTCAAAAAAAACTACAAGGATCTTGAAGTGGAAATCTCAAAAATGTGGCACATGAGGACATCAATAATTTCTAGTTGTAGTTGGAGCCCTCAGATTGATTGGAAAAGATTCCGATAGACTTATTGAAGGGATTCCTGGTAGCTTATGCCTTAAAGAAATACAAAAAAAGTGTACTCACAAGTACAACCCCCATATTATGAGGGGCTTTATATATGTAAAATATGTGTGACGTTAGTTTTTTTTTAGAAAAATAATCAGTGGAAAAATGTCCAGAACCCGTTTCTGACCTTAGGTCTCTGGTTGGGATCAAGAAGGAAATTTGTATAGAACAGAAATCAAAGGAAATAACAACAACAACAACAACGATAATAATAATAATAATAATAATAATAATAATAATAATAATAATAAATATCAGTAATTCCAGTTGTGGCTGCGTTCCTGCGTTTCTCTGGAACTGGTTTTGTTAGACTCATTCAAGGGATCCCAGGGCAGCCATTGCCTTAAACAAGTCCAGCTCACACCTTACGAATGGCTTTATCTTTGTAAATGTGTGTGTTCTTAGGCTGTTTTATTTTTATTTTTTTTATAAATATGTTTAGTGGAAACGTTCATGAAATCATTTCGGTCTCTGGTTGGGACCCAGAAAGAAAATGGATATACAACAAAAACCAAAAAATATAATAATAATAATAATAATAATAATAATAATAATAATAAGAAGAAGAAGAAGAAGAAGAAGAAAAAGAAAAATGGCCAATACTCTGCCCGTACCAAACAAGCTGACGTAGACAAAACCCGTACCCATCAGTGGCTACGTAGTGCAGGGTTGAAAGCGGAAACTGAAGGTTTTATCCTTGCTGCGCAGGACCAATGCTTGCTAACTAGGAACTATCAAGCACATATACTAAAATATTGTGTCAGCCCAAAATGCAGATTCTGTGATAAATATCCAGAAACGATTGATCATCTTGTAGCAGGTTGTACGGTGTTGGCACCCACTGAATATAAAACCCGACATGACAGAGTGGGCCAATATCTGCACTGGAAAATCTGCAACTTCTACGAGAAGGAAACTGAAAAAAAACTGGTATGGACACCACCCAGACCCGGTTACGGAGATAGGACCTGTTACAATTCTATGGGACTACACAATATACACTGACAGAACAATCAAGGCCAACCGGCCAGATATTGTTATTAAAGACCACAAACAAAAACGATGCCTCCTTATCGATATGGCAGTTCCTGCTGACTGCAATGTATCTTTGAAAATATTCAAAAAGTTGTCAAAGTACAAGGACCTTGAAATAGAAATCTCGAAAATATGGCATATGGGAACATCAACAATCCATGTTGTAGTTGGAGCCCTAGGACTGGTTGGAAAAGATTGCAGTAGACTAATTGAAGGGGTTCCTGGAAGTCCATGCCTCAAGGAGATACAAAAAATTGTTCTCACAAGTACAACCCACACTTTACGAAGGGCTTTATCTATGTAATATTTTTATTTATTTTTTTTTTTTTTAGTCAGTGGAAAATGTCATGACGCCATTTCTAACCTTAGGTCCCTGGGCGGGACCCGGAAAGAAATGTGTAAACGCCAGAAATCAAAGAAAATAATAATAATAATAATAATAATAATAATAACAATAATAAGAAGAAGAAGAAGAAGAAGAAGAAGAAGAAGACAGAGTTAAAGTTTTTGGGAAAAAACCGATAAAACACAAATAGAGAAATGAATAATTGTTAAGAAAATGACAGAATAACAAGCTCAAAATTCTATAGCAAACAAAACAATGTTCGAAATAAAATCAATACAAAAGACAATTGAAGATAAAAAGGCAAGAAAACAAACTGGCATGATATCATTGTGGCTAACATTCTGAAAATTTTAAGTACCAATTTGCAACATTCAGTTACTGGAATCAATCTCATGTATAATTACTAACAACTAATCTCTGTTTAATATCGTTCGTAAGTTACAAACGGTTTTTTTAATATTTGGCAGGCATTCGTTTCACGGGTGATAGCATCTCTCAACGTAATTGATATGTACGGGCATCTCTAAAAGAAATGTTGCAGCCGATTTCGTTTTAAAAATTCGATTGTGTCTTGTAAGGGGAAGTGCTGAAAATTTATCGCTGCGACTAAGAGGCCCTATCAAAAAAGATCTGATGTTTTCGTCAAATATTGTGAATTTGGGCCTCATCTTGATCTTTTCAACACAACGCTTCTACATGAGTTATCGATCACCACAAACAGATTGTTTTGTCTCAGTTTATAAAACAAATTATGTGTCCATTGTGCCTGTGTATCTGTGACAATTTTCATTGCGTGCACAGGTACTATACATCTAATCCCATGCAGAAATAACGAAAGACTATCTTAGTAGAAATCACAGATACTACACTGATCTTTGGCAGAGAGCGGAAAGTGAAACTTAGTTTCGGAGCCGAATCACGCTCAATTCAACACCAGTTCCCGTACGATCACCGAAGTTAAGCAACGTGGAGCGTGGTCAGTAGGTATATGCTTGACAGCTTGGGAATACCAGGTGCTGTAAGCTTAGATGTGCGGATGGTGTAATGGATAACGACTCCGAATTGTTAAACGGAAAAATGAGTTCCAATTTCAGTCAGGTTCGGTATATTCACTTACGCTAAAATATCCTTTGGAAACGTAAGAATCCACCTATTCATCCCATAGCTATGGGTTAATTAGTAAGACGTATATCTCTAAAATTACTATTATCTAAAAAAAATAAATAAATCTTACAATCTAAAAATCCCGGAAGTTAAGCAAAGCCGAACCTGGTCAGTAACTAGATAGGCAATACCTTGGGAATATCACGTGCCGTAAGGCTGGATTTGTGGGTGGTGTAATGGATAATGGCTCAGTATTGTTAATTGGAAAACTGAGTTCCAATTCCAGTCGGGTTCATTATATTTGCTTACGTTCAAATACTCTTGGGAAAATTTAGAATTCACATCTTCTCTTACACAGCTATGTCTTAATTAGTAAGACTTGTATTGCTAATGACACTATTAACTCCAAAAACATTCTTTCAATCTAAAAAGGACGATCTTAGTAGAAATGACACATACTACACATTGATCCTGTACAAAGCCCGGGAAGTGAGACATCAGTTCCCCTACGACCACCGAAGTTAAGCAACGTCAAGCCTAGTCAGTGCCACGATAGGTGACCGCTTAGGAATACCAGGTGCTGTACGTTTCGATGTGCGGGTGGTTTAATGCATAATGGCTCCGAATTGTCAATCGGAGAACCGAGTTCAATTTCCACTCGGGTTCGTTATATTCACTTACGCGTAAATACCATTGGGAATGATATGAATCAACATCTTCTCCCTCATCTATGGGTTAATTAGTAAGACTTACATTAGTAAATCATCATTATCACTTCCTCCACAAAAAAATTCTCACAATCTAAAATTATTTTCTAGAATTAAATAACCTGTAAAGGGTTGATAAGCCGTAAACAAACGAATAAGTCAATAAAAAACACACAGTTCTTTTGTATCCCAATTGTAAGGAGAAAGTTCGACTCGGAAAACTTTTTTCTAAGACCATCTACTTTGTGGAATAGACTCCCACGTGGATGCTTTTTTTAAACATTGCAATCTTAAAATCTTTGTGTCTCGAATCAACAGTCATCTACGTAAAATCCTTATTCAATGTCATTCTATCTTGAGAGGCTCTTAGGCCTTGTATTTAGTCCCGTAGTCTAAATAACTCTTTCTTTTTTCTACTTTTCTCTCTCTCTCCTTCTTTCTCTTTCTTCCTGGCAGTCTCTTTTTTCTCTCTTTTTCTATTTATTTTTTTCCCTTTCTCGTATTCTTTTCTCTTCTTTTCTATTTCTCTCTCATTTTCTTTCTTTCTTTCTTTCTTTCTTTCTTTCTTTCTTTCTACTTCCCTCTCTCTTTCTGATTCTTTCTCTTTCGCCCCCATGATCTCTCACTTTCTCTCTATCATTGTTACTTTTTATTTCTCTTTCCTCCTCTCATTCACTTGCTTTCTATTTCTCTCTTTTGCGGTCACTCTTTTTCGTTCTCTTTCTCTCTCTCTGTATTTCCGTCTTTCTTCCTTTCTATTTTTCTCTTTATATCTTTCTTTCTTTCTTTCTTTTCTTTCTTATCTCTCTCTCTTTCTCATTCATTCTTTTTCTTTCTCATTCTCTCTTTTTTCTCTTTATCCCTTTCTGTCTTTCTCGTATTCTAATTTTGCTTTCGTTCACTTTCTCTCTTGCACGTTGCTTCTCTCATTCTTCCTATCTTTCACACTCATTCTCTTTCTTTTTTTCTCTCTCCTCTCTCCCTCTCTTCTCCATCTCTCTTCTTGTGCCTCTCTTTCTCTTAATCTGCCTTTTTTTCTATCACTATCGGTCTCCATACACATTTATAGGAAATTGTATTGCAGCGTGTGTCATTGATCCAGAATAATTGAACCATCCAACCTACACTTTAACTATGAAACTATTCCGGCGAAAGTTGCACACACACACACACACCTGAGCAAAAAGTAAACTCGCTGGCAATGTATTCATACGTTTATATACAATCGATGCAAAAGGCCTTTTATGGTTTTATGCATATGTGAACAGTATTTAGTGTAAACAAATGAACATGAGTGAACATATTGATGCAATCAGTAAGCCCCTTGGCCGCCCAAGAGTGATTAATCGATAATTGATGACTACATGTATTTCTTGCAGACATAGTTCGATATTGGTGACCTCAGCGTACCATGATTTCTATTTTCTTAACAAGGGGATATCAAATAATCTTTAACTATGCCGTCAAAAATGTAGCTAAGTCTTCATACGCATGGAATAATTTATATATATATATATATATATATATATATATATATATATATATATATATATTTTCCAATTATTCTATTACACCGCATTAGTTCTCATAGGGTCGGTTTATCATTTAAAGATATAAAACTGATCCCCACATCAGGAGTCATCAGACTTTTGTTCACAGAGGGCCAGAGAACTGAGAGAATGGCGAACGCGAACCGGGTAACCATTTTTTTCAATACAATACACTGAATGCACAACAAAGAAAGACATCAAACATACTTACCTGTCTAGATTTCTGAGATGAGGTATTATGTACACTATTTACATTATTCGGACTATTGTCCTCATCTTTGTCACCATATTTATCCGATCCTTCAGTATCTGTCTATATTTCTGAGATGGGGTATTATGTAAACTATTTACATTATTCGGACTATTGTCCTCATCTTTGTCGCTATATTTATCCGAACCTTCAGTATCTGTCTATATTTCTGAGATGAGGTATTATGTACACTGTTTACATTATTCGGACTATTGCCCGCATCTTCGTCGCCATATTTATTACAACGTTTCGGCCGTTGTACGCTCCGGCCTTCATCAGGTGGTTGGAATATCGAACTGAACCCTTTATTTCGCTCACTGAGGTAGACTCTTCTAGTTCCACGTGCCATATTTAATGGATATCAGTTATCTCCTGTTAATTTCCCTCTGAAAGTTCCCCACTGCCTTAACCGGGTATTGAATTCACACTCTTTGGGTCCTGTCACTGGATCTAACTAATGCCTTTATCCACTGTGCAATATGTTGTAATAAATATGGCGACAAAGATGAGGACAATAGTCCGAATAATGTAAATAGTGTAGTAAACATACTTATTTACTAAAAAGTTACCTAAGAAGGTGACAATAGCAATAAAATAGTTATATCACACGATGTGTACAAATATTCGAATCTCACAAACTAAGCAGCACAAAAGGTGAGTGAAATTTGTGAAATTGGCGTTTACCTTTTAAGATATAATCAATATTTGTTTTGGTATTGCAGCATCCAACCAAGAGAAATGCTTTCAAATATTTATCAGTCAACCTCGTTACATGTGCTGACTTTACATACTTTAGATACTATAATAACTTAATATTAACTGACACAGCGTCACTTATTCCAGTTGTAAGAAATTTAAATTTCAGATGAACACAAAAATTTGTTTTTTGACAATAACGAACACTACAGTATTTATCTTGTAATGAACAATACATTGATGATGGCATTGTGCTATATCGAAAGTACTCGGAAATATAAAGAAATATGTATCAACACGGCAATTTTCTCTCGTCTTTCAATAATGACACCAGAAAGCTTACCCGCTAATATGAAAGTATCTTATTGAAAATAAGTCGACAGAACATGTCTAAATTATTCAACGAAACATATATAACAATATATATAAATTATTCAACGAAAAAAAAAAAAATATATATATATATATATATATATATAATTTAAAGAAAAAAACAGACCACTTTAAGGTTTCATTAGTTATATTCAACGAAACATGTCTCAATACATACATATAGCTTAGGGGTAGAATCTCTGACTGATACCAAATCGGTTGGGTTTCAATCCTGGCTTCAAACAATCGGATGTCTCGCCACACTGAAGAGCAGCGAAACAGTCTGTCTGTGGATGACTATATATATATATATATATATATATATGTGTGTGTGTGTGTGTATTTGTGTCTGAATAAATTTTCTGTTGAATTTAATCAATTATGGGAAATACAATAATTTAAACCGATAGATTTTGTCGATTGAATTTAACAAAACCTTTTTAAAAGTAATTATTGCTGCCGAAATACATCCACTCATCCTCTCTCTCTCTCTCACGCACACACAGACACAAAGACACACACACACACGCACACATATATATATATATACATATATATATGCGCGTGTGTGTGTGTAGCTGGCTACTCGAGGATACCCGTGGCTAGCCAATCCCTATTGCAGACGCTTGCTCAGGTGCATTTGTATTTATTCAACACCCACAGAGCCCAACCGTACTGCAACTATGCTGAGCAGACCTTAGTTACAGTTTTGGGGAGAGAGCGTATTATCTAGCGTGACCAACAATTTGAACAAGGCCAGTGCGCACAAGCTTTCGGCCACGATGACTTGTGACTTCGTGCTAGCACAGCTATCTACGCCCCCCTCCCCAATTTCACTTACTGCGTGGTATGGCTGTTCAGGCACTTTCCAAAGATGCCGCACGCTGGGATCGACCCCCCTCCAGTCCGATAACGTCAGGAAGTGTCCTTCCTGGCAAATCGACTCTGGTGAGATTCGAACCCGGGTCTCATGGTCAGAATGCCAACGTTCTAAACACTCGGGCAAGCATCTTGGGAATACACGTCTTACAGGCGATAGTGCTCACTCTTTTTCGACGCATGCTCTAACGCAAGACGTGTTAAACGAAATATACAGTCCGTATTCCCACACGATAAACAATTTATAATGGAACATTTTAAATGCCTTAAAAACACCTGGTCGTATTTATGTATATAAATATATATTTTTTCATAACGTAACAATTTTTATTGTTTCTTGAGCACGTGAGAATTATCAGCTTAGGTTTCCTGTGTTCTACAACTGGGTAAGAAACTATAAAATGTACTTATGTCGATGTATAAATTTGTCTGCATTTAAAAGACACCTGTGTTTCACACCGTGTATGTGTACATGATACAAACACACACACACACACATATATATATATATATATATATTTATATATATATATATATATTAATGCATGTTTCATTAAATAATATAGACAAGTGTTGTCTATTTATTTTAAGTAAGTTCCTTTCATATTGTCTGATAAACTTAATAACATTATCATTGAAAGACGAAAGGAAAACACCATATTGATACATGTTTAAATCCAATCTAAGCTTTCGGCTTACATAAGCCATTACCAAAGATGACAATTTCAATAAATCAAACAACACACGGACGAAACAACAATGATAGTCCGCCCTTGCTGCATAAAAAACGGAAACGTCATATAGCCTGACGTGCTTTTACCGATTGAGCCACAGAGCGGCGTTTCGGTTGGCAAGGTCGATTTTACTGTTTTTAAACCATAATTCTCCATGATTTTCTCTCATACATTCATATCTGCTCGATGCGTATCCAAATTTAAACAAAGGACGTCACACATTATGAAATTGACAAAGTCTGACAATTATTTCAAGACATTTTTATGTTTATAGGTTCTTTTTATAGATACAAATATTTAAGTTAATGCTCTGTTTATAATGAACAGTATTAACAACATTTAACGGCCTGAATGTCCGAGAGATTTTCATATAAAATATGCGTCCTCCGGCAGAAATC